GGCCAAATATGATTCGAATATAGAGACATCATTAACATAGGTATACATTTATTTTGTAATATACATCACTGATATAGTAAAACCTTATTAATTCAGGACAGTTTGAATTCATAAGTCTAAAAATTTGAATATTTTAAAAAGATATGCAGTTTAAGCACTCACAAGCATTCATTTTTTTCCTTCAAGCATATTATTTCAATATACAACTTTGCATTGGCCAAGTATTACCTATTTACAATTCTTTTGGGTATTTGTTTTTAATGATGAATAAGAATGCTTTAAACTAGTATTCTTAAATTAAATTCCTCTAAAATGAAAAGTTTAAAAATTTGCCTGCAATATTGAAACATTTTTTCTTTAAGAATTGATTATAACTTTTGTTAACAAATCTTTTTCATCAGATAATACATAGTAAACAGCATTCAAGTCCTTGTATCACATGGTTACAAATTGTAGGTAAATTAGAGGAAGTTTACTGTATCTTAATCATTTCTTATAAATGAAGTATTACAGTATTACGTATTTTGGTTATGATGGGGTGAATGATGTCTTTTTTCATTGGGAGATATCAACGTAAGTTCAAAGTCTACTATGTTATTTTATAATATAAACTAAAAAAAATCCTAATATGTGTTTTAAGATAATTCCTTAGCAAATTATAACTGTAAGTGGAATATCAAATTTTAATAAGTATTGATTGTATTACGAGTGTCAAGAATTGCTAACACAAATTTATCCCTTTCTCCCATTCAAAGACATCAAGCCATCTACTAATGCATAAATATTGATGTTTCACATACTTCATAGAGTAGCTTAAAACATACCAGCATAAGAAATAATTAGTATTACATAGTAATTTCCTTTGCCATAGGAATAAATGTTGGACAAAGTCTGGAACATTTTATTTTCCAATTTGAATTACAGTAATTTGCCAGACCACAGCACTAGTGCATGTGTTACTTTAGACATGCTCTAAGAACAAAACAAAATTACTGCAAAAATACATGTCACCAATGTGGAACACACTCAGATTGTATAAAAGTACTGAACTAATCCCAAGAGGTATATGTAAACAGTACATAAGGAAGAAATAGTTTTAATATGAAAATCATTTAAGTCACATACATCATGATAAGAAGCAGGATTCTTTATAAAAGGTAATATTTTAACTAACAAGCAACATCTACACATCTACAGAACAAGAAAGGTACAGGTATTTAGAGTAAGTTTTAAACAATTGCAAGTAATGTATCATCATAAAAATATGTCAAAGATGAAGCTATCCATTGGGTTCATTAAAAGTTTTGAATTAAATACAGGCAGCCTATATGTGTTAATGCCTCGCATAAGCATGGGCACTTCCTTCCCCAGCCCCTTTTTTTCGAGGCATAGACTTGCTCTGTCGCCCCAGGTAGAGTGCAGAGGGTCCTAGCTCACAGCAACCTCAAACTCCTGGGCTCAAGCATCCTTCTGCCTCAAGACTCCAAAGTAGCTTGAACTACAGTAGCTGGGACTACAGGCACATATCACACACGCCCCGCTAACTTTTCTATTTTACTAGAGCCGGTCTTGTTCTTGTTCAGGTTGGTCTTGAACTCCTTCCTTGCCTCTCAGAGTGCTAGGATTATAGGCATGACCACTGCGCCCAGCTATTTTCTTCTCTTGTATCTCCCAGACCACAAGATTGGGAGATGTTAATGCTAGCCTCCTTGCTTCACCGGTGCCTCCAAAATTCCCATTACTGTACTTCCGTGAATTGGAAAATGCAGATGTTTTATACTGCTCTTTTGGATAAATGAAGAGAGAGAGAGGGAAGTTATAATACTAAAATTTGGAAATGAGAAGAAACTCTGAGTTCAGAATTAGAGGACAGGAAGCTGTGAAAAGTCAAAATAATCTGAATGAAACTGGAAGTACTTTCAAGACAGTACCAGCTAATTCGCTAAAATACTGCTTCCCAGTGTGTCTGAAATTTAAGATATTAAAGAGGAATTCTGAACTAATAACATCTTTTTTTAAAAAAAAGAAATTTAATGCCACTTTCTCCACTATCTTCATTATTATCTTAGCAGAAAGTGCTTTTTCCTTAAAGTCTAGCCAACCCTGCCACACGTAAAACAGGATTTCTGACCAGAGGAAAGATAAGAATGTTGAAGCAAAGAACCTTCAGGAGGAGAAAAGACAAGCCTGCTTATATAGCATTCCACCAGAGTTTAGGATGGTAAGAACAACTGGAAAACAACTCACTCCAAAGAACCTTCCTAATCACAAAAGAAAAAGGAAAGAACTTTCTTTCTCTCTCCTACATTGATTGGTTCCCTAAAGAAAACTGAAAGCTTACTATGATATTAACAGTTAACTATACCATGGTTTAAATAAACCTTTAAGAGCCTCCCTATTACATAGAGTTCCAAGCCACTATTTACAAGTGAACTTTGAGAGCCTAGATGCTTTTGAACATTTTTAATTAAAAAATTTTTTAAATAGCACAAATGTTCATGCACATGGAACCTCTGTACACTGCAAAGATATCCAAAGTTTTTAAGAACTCCCTTTAAAAAATCATTGCTTATATATTTTCTCACTATTGATACAATTACTAAGTACATTAGACAATAAGTACCAGCACCTTATTAGTTCAAAACAAACAAGTTTGAAAGATACTAGATGAAGACTCTTTTTTTTTTTTTTTTTGAGACAGAGTCTCGCTTTGTTGCCAGGCTAGAGTGAGTGCCGTGGCGTCAGCCTAGTCACAGCAACCTCAAATCCTGGGCTCGAGTGATCCTTCTGCTCAGCCTCCCAAGTAGCTGGATACAGGCATGCGCCACATGCCCGGGCTAATTTTTTTTTAATATATATCGTTGGCCAATTAATTCTTTCTATTTAAGTAGAGACGGGTCTCGGCT